CTCTCTCTCTCTCTCTCTCTCTCTCTCTCTCTCTCTCTCTCTCTCTCTCTCTGTGTGTGTGTGTGTGTGTGTGTGTGTGTGTGTGTGTGTGTCGTGATCGTCAACAGCAATACAACAATATGCATTACGAAGTTACCCTGACCTCCCCGCTCACATTCATCTCCCTCTCCTCCCCTGAACCCCTACTACGAAGCCATTAAGTCAGGGCCAATTATCAACCGCTAATGGGAGCCATCGCAAACCGTACTCGACAGGCGTGCAGCCCGATCCTCCCACACAGTACGAGACGTTAACGACCGTCAACTTCTTTTTTCCCTTTCGTGCTGGACGTCCGTATCTCGAGCGTCATCTGCAGGGGGAACGTGTTCTTTTTCACACTAATCATCATCGAGAAACAAGCTCGTTCCACCCCCTCTCTCGCTCCTCCATCGCTCGAGATCCTTTCTCCCCTGCTAGTCGATTCGCACGTCGACTACCTTCGGCATTTCAGGAATCCTGAGCGTCATCTGCACATTTCTTCACGCTGTTCATCATCGAGAATCGAAGTTGTGACTTGGCCAACCCCTCGCTCGCTCGTCCATCGCTCGAGATCTTGTCTCACCCATCTAGCTGATTTGTACGTCTACTACCTTGGGCTTCTCCGGCTCCTTGGGCGGAGCCTTCGGTACCGTGACAGTGAGGAGTCCGTCCTTGCACTGCGCGCCAATTTTCTCCACCTCCACATTCTGCGGCAACGTGAAGCGTCGCATGAACTTTCCCGTGCTTCGCTCCATGCGATGGTACTTGGCACCAGGCTCTCCCTCCTTCGTCTCGCGATGACGCTCGCCGCTGATGACGAGTGTGTTGCCGTCCTCCAGTTGCACCTTAACCTCCTCCCGACTAAGTCCGGGCAAATCAGCCACGAACTGGAACGCCGTGGCCGTCTCCTTCACGTCCACCGATGTGTTGGCCATAGCGCTCGATTCCCGCATGAACGCGCGAGTGGGCTCGTCGAGCCCTCTCACCATGTTATCACCCATCGAGATCATCTGCCGCATCGTGTCCGCCAGAGATCCCATGTTCGAATCCCGGAAGAACGGGTAGAGAGCCATTCTATATCGACGCCGATCGATCACGACCACAACACCGAAAGGACTCAGATCGATCTTCCCGACAAAACCCGATCCCTCCGACAACTCCCCACGGTCAGATGGATCGTCAACGAATAAACAGATGGCTCAGATCGGTCTTAACCGTGACAGCAAACTCAAGGCCAGAAACAAGTCCTACAGAGGAATCTGCCGCACGTAAGCTTGCGTATCAACTCAGAAAGAGCACAGGAATAACTGACACGTGGCGCGGGTGAGTGCAGCTATCCGAGAGAGAAGGTGATACACAGCAGTAGACCAGGGAGATGACTTAATTGCAATGACACTGACAATGGCCACAGAGACGAAGAGATCGTGCGACTTATTACATTCACAGATGGCACACAAGTCGCAGTCAATCGTGCACACTCCGTAACGATGTGAGCCAATATATATAGTCCTCCCATGACAACGTCCGCCTGCGTCGTCGAGAAGGGTGATTTTTTTTATTTTTTTTTCCAGGCTATATTCTTCTCTCAACTCAGTTTGACCTTCCACTGTTTCTTCCGTTGCGTATTGAGTCCGGATCGTCCTGTCCTATGCGCAACCGGGTGCACGGTTGCTGGCATAATGCCTACCACTACTCCTAAGCCGATACAGGGGACCCCTGCAAGCAAGGCTACCTCTCACCATTAAGGGAATGCATGCTGGCCCCCGCCCTAATGGGCGGTGGTCAGGGAGTAGAGAAGGGTGATCCCCATTTCCATGCTCCTGGGGCGCAGGGCTGAACAGGATCGTTTTACCAGCGGGCCCAGCTAGGTTGGTACACCCATGAACTATTCAAATATGGGCGTGAGATCGAATCCACTTCGAACTATTTTGAATGGAATCGACATGAGCTATTCAAATACGGGCCGGTCAGTTCCGCGATGATATGTCAAGGCCGTCGCCCTTTCTACCAGGAAAAAAGAAGGGAGGTAGGGAAAAAAAAAAATCCCTCGCACTACGGTAGCGCCGCAGGGGGTCACCAACAGACGCGGCACGTGACTTCTGGACTGCTCAAGAGTGTAGCTCACGAAAACGCTTTCATCACCTAAACCGTTATCGCGAACTTCTAGAAGCTACTGTAGGTGCTGGCACCAACCGTTCTCACCAGCAACTAGCTTCTAGAACGGTTGTTGCATCCAGCGGCCTAGCTGAGAGTATACTCACACTAGGCCCTCAAATCACAAAATCGTAAAATGAGCGGCCAGATGCAGTAGTTCCTTTCACTCAATCTGGCCGCTCATTCTGTGATATTGCGATTTTGAGGGCCTAGTGTGAGTATGGTAAGGCTCGCAAGTGGCATTCAGGAGGTCGTGCGTTTAATCCCCATTGCCCTCATGTACCTTCCTAGGCATGCTTGGCGCCCGCCGCCTACAGATAGACCACTGGATCCCCCCATCGGCATTGAGCAGACTCTGTTGATGTCCGTACCGAAGAAGACCTGAGGGGAGGCGCAGGGATTGGTCCTGTTGGCATGGTACCTGATGTTACCAGCTGTCCCCTGGCCGGTATCGCCCACCTGCAGGTCGGGAGCACCCCAAGCAGCCCTCTCTCAATAACATGGTTCTGGCTGCTACGGGGCTCCCTGAATGACTATAATTAGGAGTAGTCGTAGGGTAGGTAGTGTGAGGGGAGATCGAGAGAAGAATGTAGCTTCACTTATCTATACTCTTTATAAAGGGAAGAGCGGGTCTCGCGTGATGCTGCTGCGAACCCGACCTCCCTGTGTTCGGAAAGAGTTGGGGGACAAGGCGCCGGCCCAAGGAAAACTCGCACATATTGCAGCCTTTGTTTTTTGCGGTCCGCACGAGAAATTGCAGCCTTTTTTTTTTGCGGTCCGCGCGAGTTCGAAGGGCGCCGCGGAGTGGCGGATTTGTGGACTGAATCTAGAAGTGTGGCAGTGTAGATTTCCATGTTCTCGCGTAGGATTCATTCAATTTTTTGCAGCCTTTTTTTTTAGGCCCACCTGAGTTCGAAATGGGGTGCGGTGTGGCAGATTTGTGAACTGAATCTAGAAGTGTGGCAGTGTATATGTCCATGTTCTAGCGAAAGATTCATTCGTTGCTCATCCTATCCATGAAAGTAACGTGAGGCCGCACGAGTTCCAAGGGCAGTGTATATATTCGTTTTTTAGCGGAAAATTCATTCTGATTTTGCTCATCCTATCTTTTGTGTGTGTGTGTGTGTGAGAAAGAGAGAGAGAGAGAGAGAGAGAGAGAGAGAGAGAGARAGAGAGAGAGAGAGAGAGTACGGGTAAGACTTCAACCTCATGGTACTTTCATCGATAAGATGCGCAAAATCGAATGAATCGACCGCTAGAATATGGAAATGTACGCTGATGCACTTATTTTTGTGCGTGTGCATGTGTGTGTGTGTATGTGTGTGTGAGAGAGAGAGAGAGAGAGAAAGAGTCACACACCAGCCAACAGGTAAGTCTCCAATGCTACGGCTGGCCTCACGCTACTTCCATCGATACAATGAGCAAAGACCGAATGAATCTTCCACTAAAATATGGAAATATACAGTGCTTTCCAGCCATGGGCGCGAAGAGATAGAGAAAGGCTACTTCCATCGAAAGGATAACCAAAGTTGGAATGAATCTTCCACTAAAGCATGAAAATATACACTACTACAATTTTGTGTGTGTGTGTGTGTGTGTGTATGCGTGCGTGAGAGAGAGAGAGAGATAGAGAGAGAGATAGATAGATAGATAGATAGATAGATAGAGAGAGAGAGAGAGAGCAGAGAGAGAGAGAGAGCAGATAAGTCTCCAACCTCACGGCTAGCCTCATGGTACTTCCATCGATTGGATAAGCAAAACCGTGGAGAATCACAGGCAGTGTATATTTTCATGTTCAAGGCCGTGTATATTTTCATGATCAAGTTGAGGATTCCTTCTGATTTTGTTCATCCTCAAAAAAAAAAAAAAAAGTGTGGCAGTCATAAGCAGTGTATATTTTCATGTTCAAGTTGATGATTCATTCAGATTTTGCTCATCGTACATACACACACACACACACACACACACACACACCGGCATTGCTAGGCTGTACCAAATAAGCAAAATGGGATAGAGTCTTCCCGTAGAACATCGAAGTATCCACTGCCACAACATGGAAATATACACTGTCAAATAATGAAAATGTGGCAGTGTATATGTCAATGTTCTACCGAGAGATTCATTCTCATTTTGCTCATCCTATGGATATWATTTTTTTTTTTTTTTTTTTTTTTYTCTCTYTYTYTCTCTCTCTCTCTCTCTCTCTCTTTTTTTTTTCTCGACGACATTTGCATCTGACAGTTCCTTACTCCATACTAACACAGGGATTATTTTAAATGTATCTGTCCGTGGCGGTGTATCTTCTTATGTTCTCATGGAAGATTCCTTCTCATTTTGCACAATGAGAGACTGTTTTGTTGATGCACACATGAAACTATTGAATAACCCAAATGAGTTCAAATCTAGTGGCAACCATAATAAAATAGTTCTAATTTACAAAGGATCCGATGGCGTGCTGATGCCTTGATCGATATTTCCCCGAAGATGCCTTGGCCTATGGCCCCCCGAATGTTGCACATCCCTGATGTTCCAAAACAAACTCCCTCAATGTCACCCGGACCGGATAATTGTCGTGCATGGGGTGGGGCTGGCGCTACACTGCGGCTTCGCCGAGATGAGTTCTCTTGTGATAATAAAGAAAAAAAGAATGGTAGGTGCACTCATGAAAGAGAAGTTTGAATCCCACAAGTTCACCAGGTAAGACCATATCAGGCCTGGGCCAGTAGGGAGAGCGGCAGGCCACTTTGAAGGTGTAGGCTCGAAGATCATCGTGTGAACTAATGTTTTAAACCATCAGTAAGAGCATACTCACAGTAGCCTTTTTTTTTTATGTTGCCCGATGGAGCACGGATCAAATATTAAACTGAACAGAACAGATTCTACATTTGATCTTAGCTAAGGGCGACCCCCCTACCACCAATAACGGTGTTTTCGTTAAAAATGAAATGTTTTGTAAAAAGTGAACATAATGAAATTAACAAATTTGCCAGAACAAAAGTAAATTTAAAAACAAGAGCAGAGGATTTTAGCATCTTATTGACAAATATTGTATAATCAAGTATTGAAAAAAAAATTGCATATCCGCATCAATACAAGTTTCATTAGTCAACTATCCATGATTCTATTTTTAAGGAAAGTCGCATATCTGCACCAAATTGAATACAAGTTTCATTAAAAAGTCGCATATCTGCACCAATACAAGTTTCATGAGTTAATTATTGTTACAGTATATTATCCTAACCTTTCATAACATGAATACATCCATTCTATCACAAAATCCAAGAAGTCATATTCAATTTATTATATTAATTATAATATCAAGCTTACACAACATGGACACATATTGCAAAACGTGAGACTCAGTGAGTGTCGGATCAAGTTGAACTTGACAATATTTCAATTAGTTAGAAATCTGATGTTCCTTGAACTTAAAGGCTTACATGAAAGAACATCTTAAAAAACCTTGCATGTGACGTTAGAAGAAAATTTAAAGATTTGTTAACATTTGACAGCAAAGTGTAGCGGACACTCCAAAAACACGTACAAAAATTTGGCTTAACTACAACAACACAATTATATGAAAACACGTGCAAAAGTTCAACATTAAAAGCAATTTGAAAGCAGTGTCACCCATAAACTGTCAAAACACAAACCTTAGTTCGAATCCCGCTGAACTCGGATAACCAAATAACTCTATATTAATGGAGGACTGGGCTATTCGAACTTAGATGATGTGTCAAGGCCATTAACCGAGTAAGAAAAAAAAAAATTAAATGCAAAGCACAAATGACACTTCGAAAGTAGGCAAAACAAGCCTAGTAACTAGATCGACTTAGGAGATAAACTAATGCGATCAAGACAACATTTCAGTCTGTCCTTGTATAAGTTGTCCAATCTTCTACAACGAGCGTATCAGTTTATCCGTCAATCGCCGGATCCTTGTACTCTATATAACTTTCTATTACTTCATATTCGCGCAGCAGAAGACTTCGCAAATATTTGATGGCCGTGTCCACAATCCCATCCATGAGTGTTTTGAGTGATGGTTGCTCCATGATCCTCCTTCATAATTCTTGTCGTCGTCGTTCATCGATGTTGTCTGCATTGGAAACACTTGCACTTGCAGAATAGTCATTATGAATAAGGAAAGATACTTTGCATCGACCTCGAACAGTTGCCGCTGCACAAAACAAGGTCATCACGTTGAAATTGTTGTGGCAGAATTTGACTGATGAATAATACAATTCCGAAAATAGTGCGAGCACTTCTCGCGGGTATGTTCTCGTTCCACAACACCTCCGACCACAAATATACAGTGACTCTCGAGGAGAATGTTCCCAGTCTTCTGGTGGAGCATCCTCACCTCTAACACTGAGTACTGCACTGTCAAAGATCACTTCGGATGTGAAGAAAACTGGATCCATATCATGTCATATATTTCTTCCCCACACCTTGTTACTTGGCGGCAATCCAGTCGTCCCAAATGGTTGAACCATTCTGCAACACATGAAAATACAGTTTAAATATATGTAAATGAAAGCTCAATGACAACTAAATAACGTACTAATACGTGTAAAGAAAAACGATTAGCACTTCTTCAAAACCTATTGAAAATCTATTGATCTTCATTATCGGGAAGTGAAAGGCATTCCAATGCCTTCTCTCTAGCCGATTTTTGAATGTGCACTCCATTTTCTAAATGCAATGTCTTGGATGTCTAGCTCCACACAACACAGTCTACGTGTTGCCACTGATGTGATGTTGTGTTGTCTTTCTTCCACGTCTTCTTCCATGCGTTCGAATATTGCACAGAAAGACGTTTAGTAATAGGTTGTGGCACCCAATATTCAATAGGAATATGAATGAAAGTTGACGACTTCAAATCGTTGTCTACATCGGAAATGACTCTACCCATCCATACAGGAACTCCCTGATCGATATCATCTTGAGAAGGACGCAAGAGAACGAATTGGCCTTTTTCGACATCCACAACTGGGTTGAGCTCCACCTTTGGACGCTCATTGGCCGGTCCAACAAACAACGGCTCCTTATTCTCATTGCTCTTCAAGAGGAATGCAATATCAATATCATCTGGATCATCCTTCTTAATTTTGTCTTGTGAGGGCCAGAAGCCAGCCTTGAGTGAAGTTTTCGCAAACCCAGACCCGCAATGCTCCTCGACTGTGTCTCGACTGTGTCGAGGAATGTTTTCCAGTGTGAAAGAGCACTCTCCTTTGAGAAGCTAGCCTCATCTTTCATTCCCAACCACTCGTGCCGCTTGTTCTTTAACCATCCAACAAACGTCTTCACACCTTCAATTCCCGATTCGAAATCCGAATTCCTATCTTTAGTAGGCAGAGAAGCTTACGACGGAACAGGTGAAGGCACGAATGATCATTCAGGTCCAGCATATGTTTTGTTTTCATCTCGTTTAAAGCAATATACTGGAGCAGACCATTCAAGAGAAGTGCAATACTCTTTCCACTGGAACACAGGATTATCATCCTGCATATAAAACCTAAATGCATGTGGACGAGTATGACCGGTCAGTCTCTTGACCAGGAAGGGCTTAACAGCAGCTCGCCAATCAACAATTTCATCCATGAATGTGCCCGATGGATGTTCTTTTTGAGAACTGGCAACGAGCTTGAAGAGGTCGAGCATGGTATATGCATCATGCATTTTCAGTTTGCGAGAGAAATGACTGAAAGTGGCATCAACGTCCGTATGTGTGTGTCCCACTAACATAAAACCGAATTCGACTTCTTTGAAGAAACCAAATTTCACCAAAGCTGCAACGAGTGCCAAAACGTATCTGTTTTTGTTTTCTCTCCAACAGTTGTCAACTTATATCCTCAGTTTAGGATGCAAGTCGTTCGTTGCTTGGATGTCGCGGAGAACTTTCATAATGGATGACACTACAGCATTAGAATCATGTGGATAACAAGGGTACCAGGTGTGAACATGGACCGATGGTGAGCGGCCGTGTGCAATAGTAGCTGTTAGATTAGTTTTCAACATCGGAATATTTGCGAATGCCTTCGATTTGTTCTCTCCGCCAAAGTGTGGAATGCTGGTCTTGCTTTGGTCCATGCCGTCAATGATGATGCACAAACTGTTGGAACCCGGTCTCTTCAACTCATCCTTCCACATCTCATACGCAGCACGATGTTGGAGCTGCAAGTCCAAGTGTCTCTCGCGTAACGAAACAAAGTACTCACACACACGCACGAACTTTGCGGAATTGATAGATTCTTTGTATTCAATAAATTTCTCGCATTTCGCAAAGTTTTGATCAATGTCATGGAATTTCACATGCCAGAACTGCGTTCTCCATATGTTATAAAAAACTTGGAGCGAAACATAAGGAGCACCCGTGTTGTCGAATTGCGACTTTAGCAACTTATAAATATCAACCTTGTTATAGCAAGCAGGCAATCTCAACACCACTCTTGATTCCCCCTCTTTGGTCTTCATGTCATTGGGCATCGAATCTCCGTTGTCTCGCACAAAGGAGCTTAGTTTCCCGTACATCGTCGCATATATTGTTGATGTGCGTCTGAGTCCAGTACTGCCATGCTCCGCAAATTGTAGCCTTTTGACAAAGTCATCCTTTTTTTGAGAAATGTATTCCTACATACACCCAGTGTGAGACACCAAGCAGTAATGCACACCTTTCGTCTCCCCACAATAGGTTGAACAATCTCCTTTTCATCTTCTATGAAGGTGAACCTTTTCAACGTTTTAACCCACCACGCATCCCTGCTCTTCTAGTTCTTAGAGTAGTATGCGCTCCGGACAACTTTGATGTCGTCCAGGGTCATTTAAGCGCAACACTCTCGCTTACAACAAACCTGCCCACGCACACTCGCCAATGTTTTTTTGGTGAGTTTTCTATGAACTGATTGCAGAATCTTCTTTGACCGGGACATTCTGAGACGAAAACTATAAGGACGCTTCTCTGAGGACAGACGTTTTGGAAAAACGTCATCGAAGTCAGAGATCACGTCACAATTCTCATCGTCATTTCTACAACAGTGGTCACTGTTCCCGTCAGCGTACGTTTGCGGAAGATCGGTTTTATCTAGAGAACTATCAGCACTAGACGACACTGAAGCACTTGAATCTGAACCACCTTCATCACCCTCACCAAACAGAAGACCTGTGTACTCGGAATCTCAAAGTGAACTCCTCATCACCCATACAACACGATCTACATCGGATGCGTCGTTGTCAGTAGAGGAGGCCTTACCTTCCTGACCTTGAGCACTCTCTGCATCATAGGTTCGAACCGGGTATCGAAGGACGGGATACGCACTTTTACATGTAGTGTCCGCTTACGCAATATTTCATGACCTCTTACGAGCAGGAGATTCCAGAGCATTATCGACATGATCGTGACCACTTCGAACATCTTGTGAACACATTGGCAGGTGCGGTGGAGGAAAATCCTCATTGAGCATTGTATTAGACGCCACACAGTCCATGCTTTCCAAGGTTGTGCTGCAAGCGTGCCGTGGCATAGCATGCACACCACAAGCCATAAACGAGACGTGTCAGGAAACATCCGAGAGAGGATAACACACGACCGTGGAATCTGGGCAGCAATCCTGTCATCAGGCCCAATCCGTGCCAAAGGCGCAATACACGCGAAAGAGTCTGTCCAAGTCGGAGTTCGTCCGACAGTGGGAAGCGTAGCACATGTCGAGTCGGGGCACCAGCAACCGGAAACACAGCGTGCAACAGCATTGAAAAGGCGGAGTTCGTGACACGCAACAGGAAACGCAGCACATGTCACGTCGGGCACCAGCTTCGGAAAGGCATAGACCACGGCGCACAAAAACCAGCGGGCACCAACAGCGGAATGGCGAAGACTCTGGTGCGTAACACACAACTTGGCACGAGGGCATTGATAGGAAAGATTCTATATTACTCCAGTAACTACAGCGACTGGACACGCGTGGTAAGCGTGGTAATCACCACCCACGCAGAGCGGGCAGGAAAACTGCCACGAGTGAGCAGGAATACCATCGTGGCAACGCGACCGTACCATCATGGCAAAGCGACCGCCTCACCCAACACGCAACGGTCCCCCGTCTTGATTCCCAGCACGAGTGGTACTCACCACCCACGCAGAGTGGGCAGGAAAACTGCCACGAGTGAGCAGGAAAACCATCGTGGCAACGGGACCGCCTCGCCCAACACGGAAGGGTCCCCCGTCTTGATTCCCGGGTACCAGACTCCGAGGATTCGAAGCAAAATTCGCGCAGAGTTCGTTCTACGGCGCACGGTGGGTTTCTAGATACCCAGGCTGAGAAGGCAAACGACTGCGGTGATGCCAATGTCGCGCCCAACACGACAGGAGCTCCATTCTATATTACAAGGTGGGGGTCGTGGCGCAATCTCGCAACAAGCAGTCAGTGCTACAAGAGACAAAAGGCAGTCACCCGGGCACTATGTTGTGCTGGCGCAACTCGCACTAAACTCTGCGCAAGTCGAAACATAGGTGGGGGTCGTGGCAAAAAAGAGCAGGGTGTTCGACACGACCGTGATGGCGTTCGACACGACCAAGACCGCGTTTGACCGTGGCGGACACGACGACCAGCGTGCTCGTCATGACGACCACCGTGTCAGACCCGACGACCATCACGCCGGACACGACGACCGTCGTTGACGAGCGTGTCGGACAAGAAGACGGCCGTGCTCGATACGATGGCGGTCGTGTGCGACACGACGACGGCCGTGTTTGACACAATGGCGATCGTGTTCTACCCGACGACGATCGTGTTCAACACGACAACCAGCGTGTTCGACACGACAAGGATCGTGTTCGACACGACGACCATCATGTTCGACACGACGATGACCGTGTCGGACACGACGACGATCGTGTTTGACACGACGCCCAGCGTGTTCGACATGACAACGATCGTGTTCAACACGACAACCATCATGTTTGACACGACGATCAGCGTGTCGGACACGACAACGATCGTGTTCAACACGACGACCATCGTGTCTGACACGATGACCAGCGTGTCGGACACGACAACGATCGTGTTCAACACGACGACCATCGTGTACGACGATCGTGTTTGACACGACGACCAGCGTG